AATTACTTGCATAATTATGAATCTCTGATGCAGTTGTGAGAAACATTTTTGCACAACTCTTCAACCAGCAATCAACCTGCATTTACCTACAAAAGATGCCATCTCTGTGTTGTTGTTTGCAAGCATGGATCAAAGAGGAAGCACATTGTTGTTTTTAAAATAACTCCACTGACTTTTGGTTTCATGCAGAGAATTAACAGTGGTAGTTCTTAAAGAAAATCCAATCAAACTATGTTGTCCTCCATACCCTTACCAAAAAGTAGTTTACTTAAAGGAACAATAGGCGAAATTCATTATTTCTAGATTGAAGGAATTAACAAAAATGCTATGTGAAGAACTAGAGGTGTAATTTCATCTGGAGTATAGCATGACCTCACACACCCTCTCTCTGTGTTGATCTCCAGCCCATTGTTTACAAGCCGGTCCGTCTGCGCGTTCATGTACGTTCATGTGAATCCCCCCCTCGGAGCCCTTGGCCCTCCCTCCCTATAAAATGGCAGCGCGTATTTTCGAAATGAAATGGCAGGCAGCGGAACGTCCACCTGACATTAGCTCTAAAGAAACAACGGTTGTTGTCGAAGAAGTTGTCGGATAAAGAAAGGGACAGAACTCGGATTAACATTGGCCTTGCATTTCCAAGGTGGAGAGCACTGCAAGAGCTAAAGGGGCTACAATCTGACTCGGAGCTAGCTCTTCTTCTCCTGGACAGGTACAACATAAAGTCAAATGTCTGTTTTAATTAGTGTTACAGTAACGTTAAGCACATGTCGTTATGTCGATTCAATTAAATTTAATGTTACAATCGTAGCATGGGTTAATGTCCGGAGCTTGAGTTATTAGCGGCTCGGTCCCAGCAATGGGTCAGGTGTTTCGGTTGTGTTAGGTGAGTAACATTAGCCCAGCAGCTCAGCTAACATTTGCAATTAGCATTGTAAAACGTAGCCCGGCGGGCAGCCTGGCGGCTGTGTTTAGCTATTCTCCTGCCTACTTCAATGATGATGGTCAGTAACGTAATGTAATAAATGCAATATATTTGCTGAAATGGAGGCGAGGCTCAGTGACTAGAAGAGCTGGTAGAAGCGCTCCATAGCTGCAAGCTACTCCAATAGCCGTAGTAGCTCTAGTGCTAACTCTGGGAGCTAACGCTAACATTCCTCTCTTCTCCGTGAGCCTGCCAGGCTCCACGCTAGAGCTCGCCGGAGCCGAGAAGCAGGCTCCCGGAACGTTAGCATGGCAGCCGACTGGTGCTAACGCTAACGTCCCCATGCTTCTCGGCTCCGACTCACTGAGCCTGGCGGAGAAGCGTGGGGACGTTAGCACTAATGGGCTGCCATGCTAACGTTCCAACTCTCTCCATGAGGCCGTGAGCCCGGCTCCCGGCTCAGTTGGAGTTGGAGCGTTAGCGTGGCAGCCGAGTAGTGCTAACGCTAACAGGAAAGCAGGAAAATAGCTAAACACAGCAGAGACCGAGAGTGAGTGAAAGACATTGCTAACTGCTAAACTAGCTTGCTGTTTAAGTTTTATTTCCTCGCCCCTGTAGCGAGTGAATCTGCCTGCAGTGAAAGCGGGGGCTAACCGGTGCTTCCTCCTCATGCTCCACTTCACTCAGCTGCTAACACAGCCAGTTAGCCTCCGCTAGCTTCCCAGCTAGCGGCTCTCCGTTTGGATCCAACCAGAGCACCGAGCCCTGGTTTGTTATTCAGGTTAATGTGGGAAGAAGCAGCGGGTATATCGGGCAACTGAGTGAAGCTGAGTGAAGTGGAGCCTGTGGAAGAAACACCAGGACCGTCTGGATGTGATAGTCCCTGCTGTGGTACTCGTCTCGCTGGCACAGACTAGGTGAGTTGGGGGGGGGGGGCAGAGGTAGAGGGAGGAGTGGCTCAACAGCGAACCTAGCAGTGAAACGATTTCTTAAACTAAAATTTAAAGGGGAACTAATGTGTTTTTTCAACCTGGGCCCTATTTTCTGATCTAATTTTGTCTAAATGAGTGATAGGATGTTCAATATTTGACATTTCTCCAGTACAAAGCCTGCAGCCCGTGAGCCCCCGCTATATTAAGTAATAGGGCACTGGGACAGCGTCAAACAACGTCAAAATACGTCCAATAAAAGTGCATTTTTTTAACACAGATAGGCTCGGATTGTTAGTATAATTATCCGACAATGTAACGGAAAGGAGAAATGAACGTCTGTGTTTACCTTTTAGCTGGATTCGGACAAGTTCCTCTGCCTGTTACTGCTCCCTCTCTCTCCTCGTCCGCTCTTCAATTTCAATGAGCTCTGCCTCCGTCTATGTCTGTTTACTCCGTGTTCAAATAAATGCAGGCGGTCATCAAATTCAAATGGCTCATCCAGATCCAGTTGGTCAAAATCGGGTAAAAATTTGGACGTTTGTTATGGCAAGTCAAAACACTCACCCAGAGAGTGAATAGGCTCGTTCGAGATGAGCCAGGCCTGCGCAGATTCGATCACCGGCGATCGGCGCACAGTGCATGCCGGTTAGTTTTGTGTCCGACTTCATCCAAAGATACTGGATTACTACAAGATGGCCCACCTACAATATACCCCCATTGTATGAAATGGTATACATTTCCGGTCTCCTAAGTAGGTGTTGTCCCCCATTGCCCAATCAAAGACGATGGAGAACTGCCAATCAAAGACTAGTATCCCCAACCTCGCTTGGTTATCGTAGATTAGCTGGGCTAACCGTTAGCCGTTAGCGGTGTCTGTAATAACGCAGTAACTCAATAAACGGTCCGTTAAAAAAATATTTTTTCCAGTGGATATCTTAGTTACAACATGATTGAGCTAGCAAAGCAGTTTTGTGTTGCTATGTGTGGTATTTATTCAGTTTCGGGAAATCACGATGTCTNGGGGGGGGGGGGCAGAGGTAGAGGGAGGAGTGGCTCAACAGCGAACCTAGCAGTGAAACGATTTCTTAAACTAAAATTTAAAGGGGAACTAATGTGTTTTTTCAACCTGGGCCCTATTTTCTGATCTAATTTTGTCTAAATGAGTGATAGGATGTTCAATATTTGACATTTCTCCAGTACAAAGCCTGCAGCCCGTGAGCCCCCGCTATATTAAGTAATAGGGCACTGGGACAGCGTCAAACAACGTCAAAATACGTCCAATAAAAGTGCATTTTTTTAACACAGATAGGCTCGGATTGTTAGTATAATTATCCGACAATGTAACGGAAAGGAGAAATGAACGTCTGTGTTTACCTTTTAGCTGGATTCGGACAAGTTCCTCTGCCTGTTACTGCTCCCTCTCTCTCCTCGTCCGCTCTTCAATTTCAATGAGCTCTGCCTCCGTCTATGTCTGTGTACTCCGTGTTCAAATAAATGCAGGCGGTCATCAAATTCAAATGGCTCATCCAGATCCAGTTGGTCAAAATCGGGTAAAAATTTGGACGTTTGTTATGGCAAGTCAAAACACTCACCCAGAGAGTGAATAGGCTCGTTCGAGATGAGCCAGGCCTGCGCAGATTCGATCACCGGCGATCGGCGCACAGTGCATGCCGGTTAGTTTTGTGTCCGACTTCATCCAAAGATACTGGATTACTACAAGATGGCCCACCTACAATATACCCCCATTGTATGAAATGGTATACATTTCCGGTCTCCTAAGTAGGTGTTGTCCCCCATTGCCCAATCAAAGACGATGGAGAACTGCCAATCAAAGACAAGTATCCCCAACCTCGCTTGGTTATCGTAGATTAGCTGGGCTAACCGTTAGCCGTTAGCGGTGTCTGTAATAACGCAGTAACTCAATAAACGGTCCGTTAAAAAAATATTTTTTCCAGTGGATATCTTAGTTACAACATGATTGAGCTAGCAAAGCAGTTTTGTGTTGCTATGTGTGGTATTTATTCAGTTTCGGGAAATCACGATGTCTAGAAAGCATCAGTGGCTGCAGCTGACAGGGACAGCTAACACTAGCAGCAAAGCTAACATCAAGACGTCATCTGTTAAAAGCCTCCCATTGTCGGATACGACATGAAACTACTCCAGTTAGCTCAATCATGTTGTAACTAAGACATCTGCTGGAAAAAAATATTTTTAGCAATCCAGTATCTTTGGTGAAACTGCACTGATTTCAGCACCAGAGAGGAGATATCTGTTGCCAGATCTCACGAGAGTGTGTTGTTGAGACAGAAACAGGTCTTGAACAAAGTAAATTTTCTCCTGATTTGTCTGTCTGAAATTTGCCATTTTGGTGTCGGAATGTTCTGAAGATATGTGGCTTGTGATAAATGGGTCCAATATCTGCTTCCGTGACTATGGGGCGAAAGAATCGGCCATAATCTGTAATCCCGTTTATTTCTCCCACTGAAGTCAATGGACTCAGGACCTGCTGTTTAGTCTCCTAAAGGGGCATGGTGGTCGCGAACCCCACGTGACACTGATACAGGAAACTGACTCGTAGTGGACCGTCTATGTTTATCCACCGTCTTTGCTTCATCCCGGCTTGCTCTGATGTATTACAAAAGTGGACGGCGATAAAACCGCGAGAGCGAGGTGACCGCAGTTTTTTGAGCCAGGCGCTGCAGCTGTTCTCCACCGACTGCACCGCCTGGCTCTCACCTGATCTAACAGCTGATTGGTTTAGATGTCGACTCAGCAATATACGTTTTAGATAAACTACTCATTTTTGTTGAATTTTAGAGATTAAGATTTCATTTGTCTGATTTGAAGGTTTATTCTGTGAACAGAAAACATGTTGTGTGACTGATGGTGAAGTTTAGTCATCAGAGACTAAATACATTCATCATAAACTATACAGAGTCTACTGTATGTAACCGGGTGGTTATTTACAGTGTATATATTGCATTTCTCTCCTGTGTCCCTCAGTCTGTTTATGTTGCAGCAGGCATGGCGATCGCGGCAGGTGTGTGTCACGCCCCTTACCGGCACCTGTAGTGCAGCCGCGTCATTGGCCGCTAATGCGGACCTGTTCATATACCCCCCGCTGTCGTTTAGTCGCACTCCCTCTCCTGCTGAAGCGAGTGCTGGCCGGCGTGCAGCTCCGCCGAGCCGTGGTTTCCCGGCGTAGTATGTGCCGTGTGTTCGTTCTCCAGGTATGTGTAGCACAGTCTCATGATACTGCGAAGATGTTAAGGTGCCATGTTGACAGTTCTCTGTTGTAGGTTGGCGTGTTGAGCCGAGGTGTGTATGTGTGTGTGTGTGTGTGTGTGTGTGTCCCCTTCCGGTTAGCCGCTGCTGCCGCCTTTAGCTTCTAACAGCTAGATTATTGATTTGTGCAGGCTACAGCCGACCACGCAGGTAAACAGTGCCACAAGCCCAATGTTATTTTGTCTGCTAGTGCTTATGTAGCTTATATATTGGTTACTAACGCTCACTCTGTGTCTTTTAAAGTTTGCCTGGCGTTAGGCTGCTGTTTTGCCCTGCCTTGCCTCTTACCTCCATAGTTTGTTTTCTTTTTGTTTTGCCTGGCTCACTTAGACAGCCGCTCTGCCGCTCTGCCTTCGTCGTTTAGACGCCCTTTTTTTAAAGTAGTGTACTGTAGTTCAAGACTGACCTCAGACCGTGACTCCTTAGTGGGGGTGGGAAGTTAACACAGTGTTGAGGACCTGCTAAATTTATACATGTAGCATGTTTATTTTTGTTTTTCTTTCGTTTTGATTTGAGTTTGCAGTTGTTTTGTATATAGATATTTTGTTTGGTTTCTTTTTTCTTTTTGTTTATTTGCGCAGTTGACCTCAAAAACAGCTAAAGTTGTTGACTCTGTCTTTCTAACTTAACTTTTGAGTCATTGGTACAGATTAATATTGTACCCCTTTGGAAATAAAAAGAACTACATAACTGTTTTTTAAAAAAAGAGAAATAACTTAATAAAGAAATTATTTTATTGTGAGTAATAAAAATTGTTAAACTTCTTACATCGTGCCTGTATTCATTTGTGTAACTTAACTGTGTATGGGTGATTTTTGGGAAACCCTCTGAGAAATTAAAGTGAAAAGTAGATTCTTTAGGTGCAAGTCCTAAGGTGGCGTTGTTGGTGCTAATTCTTCAGATCTGCCTCTCACAGTTCAACTGGTATTGCCACATGTATATTAACATTGGACTGTTTTAATTATTGAAGTATTTACCAACACAGAGACTTGTGGTCAGTGGGATGTGAGGATTCTTAAAATAACATGTGTACAGATGTGAAGCCCTGACTGTATCTGACTGAACCTTAATGAAAGCTGTTGTCTAGTATTTTTTTTCCTCTGAAAATATTAACCTTATTGTCAAACAGTTTATTTAGCCTGTGTAGTTGAGGGGACAGGTCAAACTGATATGATGCTGATTTGCAGGAGAATTCATGTAAAATGGAGGATAAACCATGAACATAAACTACAGATCACCTATAAAGCATTTAATAAATTAATCATAATAAAAACAACTGGAGACTGAAAACAAAATGATATATGGGTCTGATCACTTTTTTAATGAATTGACATCATTCCAGACAGGACGTAAGTGTAACATATTGTGAATTAGCCCTTCACATTTGGTTTCCATAGCTGCTGCCCATATTGTCCCTCCGGGGCCCTGGAATCTGTGAGTGGTTTTAGCCCTGGAAGCTGAATAAACAACCACAGCAGTCTACCGCCGTACTCTCGTTATTTCTATTTATAAATGCGTATTTTACATGGTGTCAGAAGTCCGTCACGAACAGAAACCACGTAGCCATGACTACTACCGCTTTTGAGCACCCCAAGATTGACTGGGACGCTGCGGACTTATATCAAGAGTTTGAGAGGTTCCTCAGCCACGTTAATTTCGTCTTCGACGGTCCCCTCGCTGAATTGGGAGACAGACAGCGTGTCGGGTGGCTTGGAACGTGGATCGGCGAACAAGGTAGAGAAATCTACAAAACGTTGGACTGGGCTGATGGTGAGAAACAGGACCCGGTCAAAGTTTTGGATAAGTTTGCCAACTACAGTACAGGCCAAAAGTTTGGACACACCTTCTCATTCAATGCGTTTTCTTTATTTTCATGACTATTTACATTGTAGATTCTCACTGAAGGCATCAAAACTATGAATGAACACATGTGGAGTTATGTACTTAACAAAAAAAGGTGAAATAACTGAAAACATGTTTTATATTCTAGTTTCTTCAAAATAGCCACCCTTTGCTCTGATTACTGCTTTGCACACTCTTGGCATTCTCTCTATGAGCTTCAAGAGGTAGTCACCTGAAATGGTTTTCCAACAGTCTTGAAGGAGTTCTCAGAGGTGTTTAGCACTTGTTGGCCCCTTTGCCTTCACTCTGCGGTCCAGCTCACCCCAAACCATCTCGATTGGGTTCAGGTCCGGTGACTGTGGAGGCCAGGTCATCTGCCACAGCACTCCATCACTCTCCTTCTTGGTCAAATAGCCCTTACACAGCCTGGAGGTGTGTTTGGGGTCATTGTCCTGTTGAAAAATAAATGATGGTCCAACTAAACGCAAACCGGATGGGATGGCATGTCGCTGCAGGATGCTGTGGTAGCCATGCTGGTTCAGTGTGCCTTCAATTTTGAATAAATCCCCAACAGTGTCACCAGCAAAACACCCCCACACCATCACACCTCCTCCTCCATGCTTCACAGTGGGAACCAGGCATGTGGAATCCATCCGTTCACCTTTTCTGCGTCTCACAAAGACATGGTGGTTGGAACCAAAGATCTCAAATTTGGACTCATCAGACCAAAGCACAGATTTCCACTGGTCTAATGTCCATTCCTTGTGTTTCTTGACACAAACAAATCTCTTCTGCTTGTTGCCTCTCCTTAGCAGTGGTTTCCTAGCAGCTATTTGACCATGAAGGCCTGATTCGCGCAGTCTCCTCTTAACAGTTGTTCTAGAGATGGGTCTGCTGCTAGAACTCTGTGTGGCATTCATCTGGTCTCTGATCTGAGCTGCTGTTAGCTTGCGATTTCTGAGGCTGGTGACTCGGATGAACTTATCCTCAGAAGCAGAGGTGACTCTTGGTCTTCCTTTCCTGGGTCGGTCCTCATGTGTGCCAGTTTCGTTGTAGCGCTTGATGGTTTTTGCGACTCCACTTGGGGACACATTTAAAGTTTTTGCAATTTTCCGGACTGACTGACCTTCATTTCTTAAAGGAATGATGGCCACTCGTTTTTCTTTAGTTAGCTGATTGGTTCTTGCCATAATATGAATTTTAACAGTTGTCCAATAGGGCTGTCGGCTGTGTATTAACCTGACTTCTGCACAACACAACTGATGGTCCCAATCCCATTGATAAAGCAAGAAATTCCACTAATTAACCCTGATAAGGCACACCTGTGAAGTGGAAACCATTTCAGGTGACTACCTCTTGAAGCTCATTGAGAGAATGCCAAGAGTGTGCAAAGCAGTAATCAGAGCAAAGGGTGGCTATTTTGAAGAAACTAGAATATAAAACTTTTTTTCAGTTATTTCACCTTTTTTTGTTAAGTACATAACTCCACGTGTTCATTCATAGTTTTGATGCCTTCAGTGAGAATCTACAATGTAAATAGTCATGGAAATAAAGAAAACGCATTGAATGAGAAGGTGTGTCTAAACTTTTGGCCTGTACTGTACATCAGAGGGGTATTGCATAAAAGTAGAATAAAGAAATCCAGGATAACAGAGCAAGCGCGGCTTGACCTAGTCTGATCGATCGGCGCATCTTGGCTTAATTGGTTGCATAAGGGGCATCGGTGGCTTAATGGGTAAAGCAGGCGCCCCATGTACAAGGCTGCTGCCACAGCGGCCTGGGTTCAAATCCAGCCTGTGGCCCTTTGCTGCATATCATCCCCCTCTCTCTCCCCCTTTCACACTTGCCTGTCCTGTCCATTAAAGGCAAAATGCCCATAAAACTGGCACGGGGGGTGGTCCACTGCACATGGAACACATTCAAAAATATTATACTGTCTGACTCTGGATTTTCTTGCAGTGTCTGGGGACACACTTCTACTTTTGGAGCCACCAGAAGATGATCTGGCTAGTACTGTACAGTTTATTGAAATCACAGGCTTGGCATGTCCTGTCAAAATTCTTAATACATGTTCTCTTGGTACATGTATGTATATGGCACGGGGAGGGCACATCTGCAGATAAGGAGACGGTGTCACTGGACTCCAGAAGGCTTGAGGTATCATGTCAATTTTGTGGAAATATCCTGCTTATTTAGTCCATAATGCATATGAAGTTAGTGATGTGGTGCTAATAGAAAATGTTATGTGTGTAACAGGACCCAGACACTGCACAGCCTCAGAAGCAGCCTGGTAACATTGTAAGTATTGGCTAAAGTAAATCTACATTATGCACAGATCCTGCTGTGCTAATTGGCATTTCTTTTACAGAATTCACAAACTGTCAGAGCTCTATATGGAAAACATCTTGAGAGACAGAGCTGGCAGAAGTAAAAATTCAAGTGGAGAAAAGAAAGCTGCAAGAAATGAGCTTGATCTTGAAATTAAAATAAGGACCCTTGTGAAACTGGACCTAGAAATCCAGAAATTAGAAAGTGAAGTGAGTATTTCAGTGCACACTGTAACCATATCTGTATTACAGTGTATTAATAGTTGTTATTATTGCTTTCTATTTCAGGATCCAAGCAGACAAAAGAGGACTGGGAAATAAAACAATTGAACGACAAAACGTGGTGTCCTCCCTTTTTCATGAATGTGCGGTATACCATTGATTTGGTGAAGTGGAATTTAAAAGATAATCACACACTGTGTGCTACCAATGCCAGATAAAATGCACATACACAGCAAAAAGTAACATACAAGATCCTTTATTGAAGAGAGGCTAAATTTGTTGATTTAACCTAAGTGGAAAAATGATGCAACATCCAATCCGATCCAATCCAGCTTTATTTATAAAGCGCTTTAAAACAACCACTGAGGTCCCAAAGTGCTGTAAAATACACAATAGGTTGAAATGCACAGTTTGCATAATTAGAAAATAGAAAATTTAAAAAACACATAAAAACAACATCTTACACAGTGTTAAAAGCCAGGGAAAACAGGTGGGGTTTAAGAAGATTTTTAAAAAGAGGCAGTGAGGATGCCTGCCTGATGTACAGTGGCAGATCGTTCTACAGTTTGGGAGCTGCCACAGCGAATGCACGATCTCCTCTGTGCTTGAGTCTGGTTTTGGGCACTGTCATGAGCAGCTGGTTAGCTGACCTGAGGGAACGGGTGGGCATAAAAGGCTGTAGCAACTCAGAGAGGTAGGGTGGGGTAAGGCTGTTAAGAGCTTTAAAAGCAAATAAAATAATTTTAAAATGGATCCTAAAATGAACTGGCAGCCAATGAAGTGATGCTAAAATTGGTGTAATGTGCTCATGCTTGCGTGTACCAGTTAAAAGTCGTGCAGCTGCACTTTGTACCAGCTTCAGACGAGCAATGGAGGACCCATTAACCCCCACATATAGTGCGTTGCAGTAGTCCAGCCAAGTGGTGACAAAGGCATGGATGACTGACTCAAAACACTTCCTTGTCAGTATGGGCTTAATTTTTGTCAACTGCCTCAACTGGAAGAAGCTTGCCTGTACAACTGCATTTATCTGCTTGTCAAGCTTAAGGTCTGAGTCGACTTTGACTCCAAGGTTTTTAATAGCAGGTTAACATACTGGGCCAGATAACCTACATCAACAGTAGGGGATGCATAGGGGGCACTAAAAAACCATCACCTCAGTTTTTTTCTCATTAAAATTTAGAAAAAAATTTAAGACATCCAGTCTTTGTCATTGAGACAGTTTATCAATGGTTTGGTGGAGTATGAGTATGACTTTTTGAGGAGCACATAGATCTGACTGTCATCTGTGTAGCAATGGAATGAGATGCCATGTTTCCTCAGTATGGACCAGAGTGGCAATAGGTAGAGGGAGAAAAGAAGAAGGCCTAAAACGGAACCCTGTGGAACCCCACATTAGAGAGGTGCAGAGAACGACACAGAATCACCAAGGCTGACACTAAAAGTTCTGTCTGACAGGTAAGACTTAAACCATTCCAGGGCAGTGCCCTTGATGCCAACGCAGTGCTCCAGATGAGAGATCAGTATGGCATGGTCCACTGTGTTGAATGCAGCAGTCAAATCTAAAAGCACAAGAATGACACATTGACCAGAGTTGGTGGCTAAAAAGATGTCATTAAAAACTTTTAAAAGTGCAGTTTCAGTGCTATGTAGGGCTTTAAAACCAGATCGAAGAACTTCCAGGATATTTTGTTCATCTAAAAATGCCATTAGTTGAGAGTAAACTATTTTCTCAAGGATTTTCGATAAAAATGGCAGTTTAGAAATAGGCCTGAAATTAGCCAGAATTGCAGGATCTAGGCCAGGCTTTTTGATCAAAGGCTGCACTACTGCATGTTTAAAAGTCATAGGGACTACACCTGAGGATAGACTGACATTAATAATGGCAAGTACAGACGGCCCAATGGTGGTAAAAACCTCTTTAAAAAGTTGAGGAGGAATGACATCGTTTAGGGAACCTGAGGGCTTCATCCGGCACACAGTCTCTTGTACAGAGGACAAAGTCACAAGCTCAAACATGTCGAAAATGGCAGAACAAGGGACAGAGACAGTGGTATCATATGCAGGTGGTGAACAGAGGGCCCTAGCGGAAGTGACCTTATTGATGAAAAAGTGAAAATTTTCACAGGCCACAGGGGAGGAGTAAATACAGGCAGTCTGTGATGCATTTAAAACAGAGTTGATGGTCTTGAACAGCACATGGGGCTTGTGACAGTTTGACAGAACAATGTCATAGAAATATTTTCTTTTTGAATCTCTCACAGTAGATTGGTAATTATGCCAACAGTCTCTTAGTATTTGGAATGACACACAGTTTGTCTTTTCTCTATTTGCGCCCTGCTATACAGCACTCACATCTGGCAGCACGGGTTGTGTCATTTAGCCAGGGCTCGGAGGTGGTTTTTGGCTGCCTGGTCTTTAACGGCCACAGTGTCTATGGCAGTTTGGCAGGTGTCGAAAAACCATGCACTAAGAGCATATGTGCCATTAGATAGAGACTCAGGAATGCCACAGTTCTGGCTGAAAACGGAAGAGAACTGAGCAGCAGTGGATGGGTTAATAACACGGCATCAATGGGGAACAGCACGAGTTTCAACGGTATTATAGCCGAAAGCAGCCTCAAACAACACAGGCATATGGTCAGAAAACACCCGGTCACAGATCTCTAGGTTAAAAACAGGCAAACCATGTGATAAAACAAGGTCAAGAGTGTGTCCGCTTTCATGTGTTGGAGCAGACACGGACTGAACAAGATTAAAAGAGTCAATAATGTTTAAGAAATCCTTTGACAGAGGGTTATCAGCACAACAAACATGAATATTAAAATCTCCGACAATAAGAACATGGTCATGTTTAGGCATGATCTCAGCTAGAAAAGCAGAAAAGTCATTTCAATCAATCAATCAATTTTATTTATAGAGCCCAATATCACAAATCACAATTTGCCTCACAGGGCTTTACAGCATACGATATCCCTCTGTCCTTTGGACCCTCACAGCGGATAAGGAAAAACTCCCTAAAAAAAACCCTTTAACGGGAAAAAAAAAACATTAGAAACCTCAGGAAGAGCAACTGAGGAGGGATCCCTCTTCCAGGACGGACAGACATGCAATAGATGTCGTACAGAACAGATCAGCATAATAAATTAACAGTAATCCATATGACACAATGAGACAGAAAGAGAGAGACAGAGACAGAGAGAGATGCAGGACAGACGGTAATGACGTAGCTTACAACAACAATAATGAAAGTAATAATATTATAATTATAGCTCTGGCTACTGTGATACAATATTTATAAAATCCTTATTGTATTTGAGAGGCCGATAAATCACAGCACACAGCGCTGAGCGACCCAGCTCAAATAAGCACAGTTCAAAGCTGGAGAAAGATGATGGCAGAAGGATTTGCTTACATTTGAAGTTATTCTTAAAAACAGATGCTATTCCTCCTCCACAACCCGACGTCTGCGGCGAATTAAGATAGCAGCACTCAGTTGGTAAAAGCTCAGTAAAAGTGCTGGACTCATCAACATTTAACCAGGTCTCGGTCACAAGAAGGAAATCCAAACCCCGGGACATGAAGAAGTCCTTTAGGATGAAAGTTTTGTTATGCAGTGATCTGGCATTCACCAGGCCAAACCTGACAGGAGCCGGTGAGTCCAAGACGTCAGCTGTCCGGGGAGCACGGCACAGAAGGCCCGTTTCCATAGCCTGGTTCCAGACCATAGACCCCGCCCATTCAGCTGAGTAGGCTTGCATCTCTAGTCTGGCATACTTCAGTGAATATGGGATTTATCTCGTCCAAACGATGGATGGACCAATGAACGCCGGGGGTCTAGCGATTAGCCAATCAGCGCCACGCTGATGTCAAGCTGTATGCCGGTGGGTAACTGGTGAGGATAGCAACAATGGTGACCGCTACAGATCCTACAGACCACATTAACGATGCTATCGAGGTATTTCGCCACTACTCGCGTTAATGGAGGACCAAATTAAGGAAGCTGCTAAACTGGATTTAACGGCGATACAGCTGGGCGTGCACGACGACGGAGACATTTTAAATGGGCAATGCTCGCTTGTTTTCGGCACCCCCGAGGCATGGATACTAATGACGTCAGATTCTGGGTGAGTTGTTGATCTCTACTGATTGGTTAGGGAAAAATCAAATTCCCTCCCCTTGTAAATCGCCTTCAGTGGAAGCCATGTCAGACTGAAGGTTCTGGGAGCTTTAGTCTGACACTCAGGCTACCGTTTCCACTGAAGAAGTTCCTAGTACTATTTAGGGGGCAGGAACTACTACAGGAATGTCCTCTCGTGCCGGCTATTTAGTTGCTTTCTGTTGACGTCACATCCCTCCTTGAGTATATCCAATCAGCACCAAGTAATCCCCAAGCCCCAGCCAGGAGTCTTTCGGGGCCGTTCTGAGTACCTACCCCGATGCAGGGACTTGTTTAGCCCCCGTAAAAGTTCCGGAACTCTGTCCCTCTGGGGTGGTTCCTGCAGTGGAGACACGCACCAACGGCCCCGGCCCCGTAAAATTACCCCGAAGTTCCTGCAGTGGAAACGGGCCTAGAGACCACAAGTTGCCCGGGTTCATTCCACCGCCGCGGTGCTGACGGAGAGATCTGACAGACATAATGGTCTCAATGGGGTGTGGTGTAGAGGGGTGTAGTGACAGCGGGGGCCTGCAGGGGGAGTTGACGAGTGCAGTGTTACTCTGAGGAGGCACCATAAAAGAAGAGAGAGGGACCTGTGGGTGTGTGTGAGTGAGGTGAGTAAGCAGTCATTCACGTGGGTGTGATTGCACAGCGTGCTGCAGATTGGTTTTTAACATGTAGCCATCGGGTTTAAAAAAGGATGGGCGATTCCAAAACGTGTTGGAATTGTCTATGAAGCCAACATTGTGTGCCCTGCACATGGACTGGAGCCAAGTGTGGAAATAGATGACTCTGCTGAACTTTTCTGACCCACAGCCGTGAGGAGAAAGCGGACCACTGATAAAGATGGATTTTCCACTGCTGATTAAAAGCTGAAGAAGCTTTCTAAACTCAGATTTGGTCACCTCGGAGTGTCGAAGTGAAGAATCATTCGTCCCGACATGAACAATTATCCTAGT